AAAGTTGCTTATAGTTAAAAATGCGGAAAAAAAAACTGTTAGCTTTATTTGTGAAAATTGTGATGAGAGTATAAAACTATAATAAAGTAATAATAATGGTCAAGAAGATAGATGCTTCTTAATCAAAAACAGAGATTCATTAGGAAGCAAAGTAATGTATCCCTTTTTTCTCTCTTTCTTTATGCTTTTACTGTCTCTCTCGCTCTTGTAATCAGTTATTTTTGGAATTGCGATCAGGCGATGAAGCAAAAACGCACATAAATTCAATTCTGTAAAACGGGGATGAAACTAGTTACGCGATTGGTTAAATTACGCAACTTTTGTCAACAGTATAAATTAAGTTGATAAAGTTGTTCAAGGTATGTCTTGAAGTAGATGCCACGTCGCCATTTTATTATTTTGTTTTTTATTACGTGTTTTTGTTTTATTTTATGTTTCATTTATTTAATACGAGTGTTTAATTCTTTTTTTATTCACACAAAGGAATAGATAAGGACTAAGTACTTAAAATTTTTCGCGTAACAGATGAATTTTGTGCATCTACATTGCATCTTGTCTTGAAAGGCAAACCACGCCAGACAACCATTTTAAAATTTGCTTTTTTATGTGTTTTTATTCAATTTCATTATATATTTACTTCATACAATAATTGTTAAATCGTTATTTCTCTATTTTTACAGATTGAAGATAAACAAGTGTAGAGATAGAAGTTCATTTTGGTGCTGCTGAAATAACATACCTGGTCTCTCTTATGGTGTTTTATCTGTTAACTTTTCATCTTGGAGGCTTTTGTAGTTGATTAATTAAGGTGAGCATACATGCTATATTATATATGTAGCAGAAAAAAGAGTTCGGCATTACTTTAACGATGTATTATGCATGTTATTTACCAGGAAGGCTAAATTAATTATATCTGGATACTTTTTCATAAGATTTCATTTTAGAAACGTTTGAAGGACTCCAGATGCCATTAAATTATAGAGCATTGGCTGTGTTAGTCGATAATTGCTCCAGAACGTAGCCGTACCTATGGCCCTAAAAAAAGCATGAAAATGCCATTTTTCTATTGAGAATGGAGCTGTTGCTGAAAAAAGGATTTATGACAATGAACTGGTATGAAACAGTATCAATTAAAAATAGTAAATGGGGTCCCAGAAACATTAATTTCTTAGACATTTGTAACTTGCCTAAATAGACAACTTTTAAACAATGTTTTAGAAATGGCAGATGTAGAACAGCAGAATTAATATGGAATTGATCTTTCAGTGTGAATGTTATTGACTTTCTTGCTTTAAAAATGGTAATTAATTACTTTTTCTTGTCTGTTTCTATAGATGGTTCATTAAATGAGAAGGAATTAATTTTGGTGCCACTCAAACAATCGACGCTTTTGATGTCTTCACCTTGCAACATTATGTAGTTAATTTTGGCCCTGAGAATGGGAGGTAATTGGAAATTATTTACGTGAGAGCCACTCAAACAACAAATCATCCCTTCTAGATTTCGTTTGCTCATCATACTGGTAGACTTTAGAACGCTACTTTCTATAGTTAATTAAGGTGAGAATACATTACATAATTAATATTAATTCTCTTTATTACACTTTAGTAATGTGGTGTCAATTTAGTTAACAAAAGATCCCCTCGAGCATCTATCAAATTTTTTGAAAAGGGCTGGGTGGCGTTTATAGCTCCGCTACGTTTTGTTGATTTTGCCATAAAAATTCATAGAGAACATCGATTTGCGCTTCCAACCCCCAATTTAAAAACGTTTTTATTTATTGATTATTAATATTGAAACTCTGATTTTGAAAACCGAGTCTTAATAAGTAAAAGAATTCAGAACTGCTACTGCAGCCTTACGCTCAAATACTTTGCAGTGAAGTGGGTTGCCTATATGAGGGACGAGAAATCGTTAACGGTATTAAAAAAAAGGTCTGGCAAATAAATAGAGAAATAACTTAGTATGTTGAACAGTAAAAACGATCGAGAAATTAAATATTCCAGTGGTGTAGCGTACCAAATTATATTTAAGAAGGATTGAAGAATTGATTGCAATTTAGCAAAATGGGTTCGAAAATATAGGCGCTTCTCTGCATGTCAAAAAATTTGCACACCTTAAAATACTTCTGTTTAGCCTCGGCAACAATTTGAAAATTTGCAATTTTATTCACGCAGCGTAAATTGTTATTATTATTATACAAAAACTATAAATCCGTTATAACTGAAATTTAGTGTGGCTATTTACCATAATAAAAAGTTTTCTTTGGCCAAGTATGAACTCTAATTTTCAATATATGTATATGAAAAAAAACCGCAAGTTAACGTATTGTTTTTTTGTAATTTTTTACATTTTTGCAATATAATAATAATAATATTAATATTGATAATAATGACAAGAACTAATCGATTAAAAGTCAAAACACTACAACACCTGTGGCCTACAATGAGTAGAAATTTATTTCTAATTTAATTTTTTAAATAGAGCGAAAAAAAAAACAAAGATAGTGTTATAAAATGTGCATGATTTGTCCATTTATTACAAAAAAATTTTCAAAAAACGGCGTGAACTCGCGGGTGCCATTTTATCTGAACACTCTCTTATAATATTTCATTTTACAGGAGTATAAAAACTGATTGTTATGAAACATTGGTTTCTCTTTCACTGTGCAAAGTGGTACTACCTACAGCCCTGAGTAAAGCATGAAGCATTGGGAACGAAAACAATGTTCTATTGTTAAAGGAAGAATTTATAACATAAATTGGTAAGTAAAAATTAAAAATAATAGATGGGGTCTTAAAAAACATCAATTTTTTAGGCATTTGCAACCTATTTTCAATAGACAGATTTTAAACTATGTTTCGGAAATTTCAAAAGCAGAAAAACAGAATTAATGTGTAACTGTCATTTCCGGCAGTATGAATGTTAGCTTAATACTACTAATAATAATAGATTTATTCTATTTGTTTTTTTTTTAACAAAATTACTATATGTATATTATGACTTATTTGAGTCTGAAGAAAGGTGATAAGGGTTAAATATCCTAGATGTTTATTTCGCTTATGAATGAATGGTACATTGTGTATTTATTATTTTTGCAGTCACTTTTAAAATATTATTAATTAAAAGTATTTAATGATTTTCCTGTTCGTTTCTATAGATTGGCTAACCCGAGAAAGATTGGGAAGTTAATTTTGACCCTAGCAATGACAAGATGGGATGTCTGACCTGGTATCCTTTCTCAATTTGGTTTGC